AGCATAGGTGAAGATCTCTGTGATTGGTCAAAATTTTAGACTATAATTTATATAAGTATATATAAGGTATGATAGACGTTTGCTTAAATTTCGCATAGATATCGTGGTACAATGAACCTCTTTGCATAAATATCTTCGATTATCTGTTTTATATGTGTTCGCTAAAGTTAATCCAGTAAAAGGGCGTTAATCCATTTCAATTCCACAACATTTACCTGGCCGTGTTGTTTGTTTGGTCTTACACCAATTACTTGGTTTCTATCTCATTTTTTTGGCCGCCATATCATTTTTTTTGGCCGCCATATCATTTTTTTGGCCGTCATATCATTTTTTTTTTGGCCATCATATCATTTTTTTTTTTTTGGCCATCATATCATTTTTTTTTGGGCCGTCAAATCACTTTTTTTTTGGCCTCAATATCATATCATTTGGCCCTTGTTGGCTTCAGGTTCTAATTATTTGACAAATGGGAAGAGCACCAAACCCTGGGCCGTGTTGTGTCTGTTTTGCAAATCAGGAAACAATTCGTTACCGAAAAGTTACCTCCCTTGCCATAAAAAAGCTTGAAGACAATGGATTTAAACTTACTGAGTCCAATGAATCTCGATATCTCTGTCATTCATGTTACAGTAACATGATAGTAAATCCGGTAAATAAAAGAAAGCGGAAGGAGGAAAAACATACGACTATCAAACGAATTAAGCGAACTGTTAATCACTCCCATAGCATTAGTAATCATAATGTAGATTCTACAACTATGGTGTTAGACAAATACATATTAGTTCCTAAAGGTGAATATAAGGAATTAGTATCCCGAAAAGAGATTAATCAACTTGGTCAAGATTTAATTCAAGCTAAAGAAGAGATACAAAATTTGCGAACAAAATTAGTGATGCGAAATCAAGGTATTTTTAATTTAATTTATTTATAATATATTAAGTTATATAACATAGTCACTTATATTAAGTTTTAATTAATAGATTCTGAAAAATTCAAAAGTATGTTGTGCTATTATGTTAAAGCTCTTACCGATGCTCTGTATGATTATCAATACCGACAGCGCAAAGATGTTTTATATGATCCTGATGATTTTATAACAATGTTGAACAATTATAATCCGAATTTAAAATCATTTTTTGATGCGATGGTTGAAATGACTAGTCCAAAAGGAAAGAATAGCGAAGTTAACAAACGTAGAATCGTTGGTATTTGCTATGAATTCGCTGGAATGTGTAATAAATTTGTTAATTTAATGAAGGTAATATATTAAAAAGATAGTTAATGTTTTTTTTAGTACTATAATAATTATTGTATTTTTTATTTTATTTTATTTTAGATGGATGCTGGCATTAGTTTAATGACAATGGGGTTATCAAAACAAGGAATTGATGCATTAGCCACTTTAGGTGTTACTGCATCATATAGAGTTATTGCGGCAAAAAGGTGTAAATTGTTAAAAGCACGAGATTCAGATCTCGAAATGTATTTTCAAGAACAGGTATTCTATTGTGTAATGTTTTTTTAAATAAGTAAACATATTTTTAATAAATTTTTTTAAATTAAAGTTGAGATATGCGCATTTTTTAAATGTTGATGATTATCACGACATACATGAAAAACGAGTGCCTAATGTGACTTCACTTCATTCAATAAATCATATGGCCACTATTTGTGTTAATTTATCAAAATATTGTACGCCAATTCCATATTGCTCACCATTAGGATTTAATATTCACAACCCCGAATTTATTGATGCCAATATTATAATTTCAAAGCTTCGTACAGAATATATGCAAGTTTTTGGTACAAGTTATACTGATCGAAAAAAAGAGTGGAATTGTATTCAAGAAATAGCAAACTTATCTGATGACACATTGATTGATAATCTGACAATACATATATATGATTCAGATATAGCAGAACGCAAAGAAGAACGAGCTATGAAAGATGTTAAACTTGTTGATTTACTTCCTTTAGATCTTCATTCTATGGACGCTTATTTAAAAGCTATTAATGCTTATGCACAGTTACAACCTATTAAACAATATCTTAATTCATTTATTGTGCCAGTTCCTGCAGATTTTCCTGGGCAGCTTTACATTCGTCGTGCTATTGTTCACAAAATGATACTTAAAGATCAAACAACAATACCCAACATAATTTTACAATTTATTCCTATGCTTGGGCCATTACATGTATCTTTAAACTCACGTCAAACAATAGTGTTAGTGTATCATAAATTTTTCAGCAAGCTTTTTAAATCAATTTGGAAAAATAAAAAACTTGCAAAAAAACCTAAAGTATGGCGATCTGATTTATTACTTTATCTTGCTTATATGGGATGGCTTCGAATTAAATCAACTATTGTAACTCGTATGAACAATGTTAAAGATTTGGAATATCAAACATTTATAGATTTGCTTGATAATATTATTCCAGCAACTATTGATATATATGCGGTATTATTTAGAGCTGGAAAATGGACCGAGTATCTTGAGACAATATTTCGTTTGTGGACAATTTTTTGTCGCTTTAAAAGAAAAAATTATGATAAACTTCCTTTAGCATTTCTTTCTGATGTATTTTTTTGGGATTCAATTGATCATCCAATTCTTGCCGCTTTGAAAACTCATCTTCCACTTTTTACTGATTACTATGTTGAAAATTTTCATAGTATTCTAAGACGACAAACATCAGGACAACGATTGGATGCATATTCTCTTCGTGATAAAGCCTTATTTATTGATCATAATAGACATAAAAATATGTTTCGGGATGCTTTTGCTAAATCTGTAAATTATCCTTACACTCGTCAACAATTAAAACAACTAGAAGAAATGTCTGCTGAATTTTTATTATCTTTATTTATTGACATACGAAATAAATGTGATCAAAGTAGTATAATTTCTTCAAGACGGCGTCGCAAATGTTTTTTGGCAGCATTTAATGCAGAAGTTGATATTAAATGGTTACCAATTGGATATCATGTCTTGAAAAAACCATTAAAAAATAAATTTTGTGATGCAACAAAATGTAGATTGGGTCCGTTAGAACCAGGTAAAGTGTTAATATGCGGACATGCTTATCATATACAATGTCTTCATTTATTAAATAATATGTGTTTATATTGCTTTAAATTTTATGAGAAAAAAATTTGCAAGCTTACAAAATCTTATTTGGATCGTTTAAAAATTGATATTCATAATAATGAAAGAATTGAACATGATAGCGATGAATCTGATAATAATAATGAAGATGAACATGAAAATAATGAAGATGAACATGATGAAATTAGTTATATTGAAACAGATAATAATATAAGCAATCGTCTTGATGAAGCCTTATGCATGTTTTAAATATTTTTTATTTTTTAATTTGATGTAATATGTTTTTAATATAATAAATGCTATTTTTATTTGTTTTTTTTGCTTACAATCGAAACTAATTGGTACAATATTCGATATATAAATAACACGTGATCATAATCCCTAAATTTTGGTGACTGTTTTCTAAAATTTATTAGCCAATCATAAAGATCTTCACCTATGCT